GCGGCTTGTTCCTGCTTCTGGAGCGCCCTCCTTCCCCACCCTCTCTCAGGGTCCTGACCCCTCCGCTTTCAGGGCTCTGTCCTCCAGGAAGCCGCTGGGCATGCATGTCCTGTGAGCCAGCCCACTCGGTCTTTCTTTTCTCTGCACTCGCCATGCCCCCACCGCTGTGGCTCTCAGCACAGATTGCCTCCGAATGTTAGCTTCCCCTTTGGCAGGCTGAGGCAGGAGGGCTGCAAGTTCGAGTCCAGCCCAGGCAACTGAGTGACCTAGCAAGATCTTGTCTCAAAATGAAAGATAAAAAGGGGAGTGCAGGTGGGAGGGCCTGGCATGGAGCTCCATGCAAAGGCCCTGAGTTCAACCTGAAACACACAAAAAAGAAAAAGAATTGTACGTAGAGTGTGGCGTTGTTCCCCAGCTGTACCCCAGACTTGCTGGCCAGGCAGGTCACCTCTTTCCTGTGCTGGCTGATGGGCCTCACTGGCCCACAGCTCAGTGCCTCCAGGTCACTCTCTGGCCGGTTCAGGACGACGCTGTCCCCAGCTCTCTGTCCAGGTAAGGCCTATCATCGGTGACACCTGGCTCCCAAGGTCCGCTCCCAGGCAGCCATCTGGCCCCCAGCGGCCAGAGAGCAGTTCCGGTGGCAGCAGGACTGCAGGCAGCCCCTGGGCCAGACGGCGGTGTCAGCCAGCAGGCAGGAGCCCGAGGCCGGAAACGCAGCGTCCTCCCTGCTGAGGCTGCCTGAGACTGGCGCTCTCAGCGTCCTTCCCTTCTCGGAGCCCACACCAGGCTGAGCTCCCGGCCCTGTCCTCCCCGCTCCTTCCCACCCGAGAGCCGTCTCTGCAGCCGGGTCCCTGGTGTGGCTCCTGGGGGGCACCTTAGCTCAGCACTGCCCCTCAGCCCAGGGCCTGCGCCTCCGCCTTGTAACGTGCTTCACCCCTGCTCTGCAGTCCTCAGACCACCGAAGGCCAGTGGCTGCGTCTTTTGTTCTTTGGTTCTTTCTGCAGTGCTGGGGATCAAACCCAGGGCCTCATGTGCAGGGCAGGAAGCATCTGCCACTGGGCCACGCCACCGCAACCTGCTAATGCAGGGGCCAAGTGCAGGAGCAGGTGGCCAGCACAAGAGTTAAATGCCATCGCCACCCTCTCCCTGCCCTCCCTGTTGCTGTCTCCAGCACCCGCGCCCAGTATGATGTCTGGGAAAGGAGCACGTCATGTCTTACCAAGAGAAATGGGAAGAGGGAAAGAAGAACGAAGAGCCACCCTTCGGGTGTGTGTTAGCAGCGAAGCTCACTCAGGCCCACCTTGTGTTCTAAACACTGAGCAGTATGGGCCGGGGATTTAGCTCAGTGGTTCTGGCGCCTGCCTTGTAAGCACAAGGTCCCAAGTTCGATCGCCGGTACCAAAAAAACCCAAAATAAATAAATACATAAAAGCTGAGCATTGCAGTGCACACACTGCTAGTCCCGGCTCCTCCGAAAGCTGAGGCAGGAGGATCACTTGCACCCAGGAGTTCAGGACTAGCCTGGGAAGCATAGAAACACCGCCCACCCCCTCTCCACAGCGGGCTTTGCTGCTGCTCAGCGCTGGACAGAGACCTCTGGTGTCTGTGAGCCCCAAACTGGAAACAGAGCTGGGCTCCCCAACCCAGCCAACAGTGCCTGCCAGTGTTTGGGAGGGCCTGAGGGAGAGGCCGTTCCTTAAGTCTCAGGGCTCTGCAGTGTCCAAGTCTAACAGCCTTTGCCGTCTGGGTGGGTGGAGGTGACGGACAGTCTGGGCCGGGTGGCACCGTTCTGCCCTCAACCCACAGGTGCACCAGGCTCAGGCAAGGTCCATACCTGGTAGCTGGGCCAGCTGGCTTCATGCAGGGCACTGCGGAGCCTGGCAGGAAGGGCTGAGAGACGTGGGACCTTGTGTAGACGAGGCCGGGCATGAGGCTGGGGAACGCTGCCCCTGCCTTCCCAGCCAGACCTGGGGACCACAGGGGCACCACTGCCAGCTGGCGTGGCTTGACCCCAGCGTCTGTCGCTGTGCCTGTGGTCTTAGTCACCCCGGGACCAGCTGCACAGAAGGCCAATGGCCTGGCGCAGCCGTCAGGATGCAGCCTGGAAGGCCTTTTCAATCACATTAGCTGCTGGCATCCCCGCAGGAAGATGCTGCCCCTGCTGGGCCCCCCTTCCTCCCGGGCTCTCTGGGAGGCAGTGATTCAGCTCGAGTCAGAAGCAGGCTAGACTGTGAGCTACAGTGGCAGAGTCACTGGGGGGGGGGGCGTCTGTCAGCACCAGCTCCGGGCAAGAACTGAAGCAGGGAGGGGACATACAGAGGGGACCTGGACCCCAGCAGAGGCCAGGACTGGTTGCAGGGCAGTGAGCAGCAGGGGTGCCCGAGGCGGGGGAGCCCTGTCTTCCCCCATGCTCTGGGGTGTGGAGAGTGGGGGAGTCCCAGCCATTGGATACCTAAGCTGCTTCTTAGCACATTCAGCAGCTAAAACTACAGAATGCATTTGCCAAGAGGTGCCCGGCCGTAATCCTCCAAGAGGTTCCTATTAGGGCAGTGCCTCCTCAGGCTGGAGGCCAGAGACCTTGCAAGGGTTCCTGTTCCTGCCATGCCCACATCCAGCCCAGCCTGGCTGCCCCCACCGCCTCCCCATGGCCCTCGTCCTCGTCCACCCCAGGGCTCTGCCGTCCAGGCCCGCACCCCTCTGGGGCTTGGTGGGCCTGGGGTTCTGCCCAACCGCAGCCCCTCACTCTCTGTGGGACCCTGAACGAGTTGCCTCACTTCTCACCACCTGCCCGGAGGGCTCCAGAGCCTGCTTTGAGGACGGCAGGCGGGGGGCTGTCTGGAAGCCCCTCTGGCACAGCAAGCACCCTGTTCTTTTTCTTTGGTACCAGGGATTGAACTCGGGACCTTGCGCTTGTGAGGCAGGCGGTGGAACCACTGAGCTAAATCCCGGGCCCTGAGCACACTGTTCTTATAAGTGTGAACGTTTCTTAAGGGAGGCTTGGCCGATGGAGGTTATGCAACACTTAGAATCCCAAGGGAAGCTGTTGGCAATGCAGGTAATGCAGTCGGTTGGGGTGGGGCCCACAGCTGAATTTTTACGCAGCTTTCTAGATGATTCCATTGATGGCCAGACTGAGAATCACTGGAGTGATGCCCAGCACTTAGGAGGCACTTAGGGCATGCCAACCATGTCCCTGTCCCACTCCTGAGCCTCAGGTGCTCCCCTGTCACGTGGAACGACGCGCCTGCCTCCTCTTCCGGCTGTGACCAGATCTAAGCATCCCGGGCAGCCCACAGCCACACAGGCTGGGAGAAGGGAGCGTCATTCCGGAGCCGCCCCTGTGGGGGCTTCTGGCAGTGCTGCGCCCAGCTCCAGGGGGAGAGTGTGGGACAAGGAGGGCAGCTTCTCGCTCCCTGCCCTTCTTCAATGGCCCAGCCTCACCCAGAGAAAAGGCTTGAGAAACGAAATCCCTCCTTGGAGAGGAGAGTTATGGGCAGGTACAGTACTATACAGTAATAAGGGCCATTGTATAACGAGTCCTCCCAGGCCTGAGCTTCAGGTGGGCACCGCCAGATGGGCCGGGCCACAGGCTGCCGGGTCTCTCTTCCGCCTCAGGAAGATGGGGGGGGGGGGCGCTCCCTCTTCCCAGCTCCTCTTGGAGGAAACAGATTCTTCTCCACCTCAAGGCCCTGCATCTTTCATTCCGACCAGTAGGTTATAAACCAGATCCGGTGACTTCAGGGAGTGGCTGCACCTCTCTCTCTTCATCCGTAAAATGGGGTGCTAGGACCTTGTCTTGGTGTGACTGGAGGATGGAAAGAGACACAGCTGCCGAGGGGGTTCTCAGGAAGGAGGGGGACTTGAGAAATGCAGCTTCTTAGGCTTGCCCCAGCGTCCTGGTTCAGGGGGCTGTAAGCCTCAACAAAGGGAAATGGGGAGGGGGCGCCCCGGCTGTGCAGAGGAATTTCCTTACAGCTTCACAAACACCCTAGGGCACCCCGCTACCCTTAGATCTCCAGAACCAGCACCTCAGGGTCGCCACAAGGCGGATCCTCTCGGGGTCTCTGCTGTGCCTTCTCCGTGAGGCCTCCCTTTCCAGCAGGCAGATCTAGCTGGCTAGTTCGCTAGCTTGGACCAAAGGTGGGCAGCAGCTGGCATTTTCTCTGGCTCCAGGGAACAGGAAAAGGCACTTCCTCCAGTCCGAGTGCATTTCCCCAGCATCTAGGCCCAGTCCGAGGGGACGGAGGGGGCGGGATGTGGGAAGTCGGCCTGACCCAAGTCCCCGACTGCTCCCTGGAGGGCAGAGCAGACTCGGGGCAGGTCCTGGAGGTGGGAGGGGTTCAGTGCCTAGGGTCACCCAACTGTTACTGTCAGGGGTAGGATTTGAACCCAGCGCTCACTTCTTCAGAAACTGAACCCCGTGCCTACCACGCTGCCGCCCCCCCTTACCTGGGCAGGGTGCTGAGCCCCACTCTCTCCGTTGCACGCTGGCTCCCCAGCCTTGGCCTTCTGCAGAAAGGCCCACACCGTGCCATAGCTGGTGTTCACCATCGCCCGAGCCAGGCCCAGGAGGGGGCGAGCCCGGGCACCCCGAGGGTCACGTTTTAATCGAAGGCCACACAGATGCACAGTGACGAGGGTGGGTGCGAGGGAGTCGAGCAGGCGGCCTTTCAGTGGGACTCGGGCGGAGTGGGCTGTGCGACGCCAGAACTGGGAGGTGGGATGCTTCGGGTGGAGGCCTGCTCGGGCCGGAGTCGGGGCCTCAGTTTCCCGGTCTGCCAAGTGCCCGGGACCTGCCTGCACTCCATGTCCGGCCAGGCGAGGGGAGGGTGGGCCCTGTCGGCCTGCGGGGTGCGGGGCGGGGCCAGCGCAGGGAGTGCAGCTGCGGAGCGCGGTGCTCGCTCGGCCGGCGCTGGCGTCACGTGAGCCCGGCCGGAGCCCGTGCCCCGCCGCGCCGCGCCTGCCCTAACCATGTCCGTCTGCTGTTGCTTCTTTTTCAGGGACTACGGCAGCTCCCGAAGGAAATCAGGTAAGGGCGCCTCCGGGCGTTTCTCCGGGGACCTGGGGCTGGGGCTGTCCTTGCTGGGTCGGGCACCCCTCTGCCGAGCCGCTGGGCTCCCGGTGGGAGTGGGCAGCGCACCCGGGCGTGTCAGTGGGGCGCAGCGCGATCAGAGGTCTTGGCTGGAGCGTGGCCGTGCCGGGCCGAGTGGCTGAGGGCAGCCCGCGCACCCCTCTGTCCACCCCCACTCCGAGCAGGGTCCCCTGCAGGGCGGGGCCGCCCCGCGGGCTGGGCACGCGCGTGGGGGACAGGTGCCAGCGCCCCGAGTTAGCGAAGCCTCCAGTCAGGGTCCCCAGACGTTGGGCCGTGCGGCCGCGGCTGCCCTTGGGGTGTGGAGGGGCCGAGTGTCCAGGTGCCGGGTGTGTGGGGGACGAGAGCCCGAGGAGGTGTCGCGGCGTCTGTGGTTCGTGCGTTGAGTGTAGAGTGCAGTACTTCTCTGCTCAGGGGACGCGGGGAGCTGCGTCCGGCGTGCGTGCTGAGCGACTCTGCGGCGCGTGTGACCTGCTCGGGTCGCGGGGGCAGCGGTTGGGCTGCGTGGCTATGGGCTGCGGCCTGTGGCAGGGGTGCTTGCGCGCCCAGAGGGGGAGAGGGGTGTGCAGGGCCGAAGGGCACGTCCTCCTGCACACAGAAATTCAGGGAGCCCAGGATTGCAGGGGCTTCAGTGTCACCCCTGGGAAGGAGGCGCGAGGCTGGGCCGTCCCGTTTGTCCCCAGGAAACTGGCAGGGTCTCAGAGGCAGAGTGTGCTGGTTGAGCCTGAGCCCTGTGAGCTCATGCAAGTTTCTGAGCCTCTCTGTACCGGAGTTTCCTCACTCTTCAACACGAAAGTAACAGTATTCATCTCACCTCACGCGTGACAGTGAGTGTGGCAGCCCCAGGTCTCCAGAAGCATCAGTTGTCCATCATTTTCTGAAGCCCCGGGGCCTAATCCTGGCTCAGCTGCCACCTGCTCCCTTGTGTGACCTTAGACGCAATCCTTTTCCACGCTCAGGGGGCCTCAGTTTCTCCTCTGAAGGGGAAGTCGGCCCTCCCCCAGCTCTGCTTCTTCTGCAGAGGAAGCCCCACCCAGGCGGCCACCCGGGGAAGGCCTCCCGCAGGTCCTCTGCCTCCAGCCCTAGGGCCGGCAAGAGGAAGGGAGGAGAAATTTAATTTTCATTGGCATGCTTATGCTAATGGCCACTTAGTGTCCTGCTTAAGTGCCAGCTCTGGAGCCAGGCAGCAGGGAGTCTGGCTTCTTTCCCCTATGACCTCAGGCAGGTTTCTTACCCCTCTCTGTACCTGTTGCCTCTCTTGTAAATTAGGGATAATACTTATACCCATCTTGAGAGGGTTAACTTTATGTTTCCTGATTGTTTATTTTATATGTACCGCCTGGTATGGGTCATGGTGCCCAGATATTTGGTCAAGCCTAGTTCTGGATGTTTCTGTGAAGGTGTTTTTTGGATGAGGTTAACATTTATTTATTTATGTTGTTTTTGAGTCAGGGTCTCAATAGGTAGTTCAGGCTGGCCTCGAACTCACTGTGTAGCCCAGTCTGCCTCAGCCTCCCAAGTACTGGGATTATAGGCATGCACCACCACGCTCGCCAAGATTAATATTTAAATGGGTGGACTTGAGTAAAGCAGATTCCCTGCCTTCTCTAATGTGGGTGGCCCTGAACCCATCAGTTGAAGGCCTTGGGACAAAGACTGACCACCACCAGCCCCCCCTCCCCAGCAAGGAGTTCTGCCAGCAGCCTGCCTTTGGGCTCCTCTCAGTTTCCCAGACTCTGCCTGCCAGCCTCCCCATCAGTTTGGACTCACCAGGCCTCCACAATCATGTGAACCAATTCCTAAAATAAACCTCCCTTTCTCTGTGTATGTGTACATCATGTCGGCTGTTTCTCTGGAGAGCCCTGACTAGTGCGTACCTCATCTGGTAATAGTGAAGACTGGATCAGTTGTTCTGTGAGCAAGCTTAGACACTGCCCGAAATTTACAGGGTTCCCTTGAAGTACTGGGTATGATTTAATGAGCATCTACTGTGCGCTTATTAAATGTCTGTACCTGTTTCCTTACTTGCTCACCGGAGCCACATTGCATGGTGGGTAATGGGAGTCCTATTTATAAATGAAAACCTGGGGCTGAGGGGAGGTGGCAGATGACTTCCCACAGTCCTGGACAAAGTCCGGAATTAAGTGCATGTTTAGGGCTCTGCCTGCCAGCTTGCTCAGCCAGGGACATTTGCACAGAGAAAACAGATGCTATCCCTGGCCCTCACCTCTCACAGCTTAGCCCCAAAGCCTCAGCTCCTCCTTGAGAGTCCCTTCCTGACACGGAGGCCCAGCCTCCTGAGTAGCCCTGCTACAGGCTGTCACTACACCCAGCTCAAGTTTAGAACAACGTCTTTCTTCTTTAACAACTACTTCTCTTCTTCCTCCTCCTCCCCCTCCCCCTCCCCCTCCCAGTTATCAGGGATTGAACCCAGGCCCTTCGTACTGAACTACATCTCCAGCCCTTCTTATTTTGACACAGGGCCTTGTGAAGTCTACTAAATTCCTCAGGCTGGCCTTGAACTTGTGATCCTCCTAGCTCAGCCTCCCAAAGTGCTGGGATTACAGACTTGAGCCACCATACCCAGGGCTTGGGCAGGGCCAACTCAACAGAGCAGAGTTCTTAGGCAGCTTACATCCTCATGGAAGAGGCAGGACCACTGACCTTGAACATGAGGCAGTGCAGCCTCTTGTTTCTCTGCTGTGCTTCCCTCCACCCAGCCTTCTCTTCTCAGCATCCATCTGCTCCTCAAGCCCAACATCTATACGTCATTCTTGACTGGAACCTTCCAACTTGGCCTCCAGCCTCCACCATCACACCTGTGAGAAGCCCTTTGGTCTCCCGGAGACCCCTGCTTCCTGCCTGGTGTCTGGGCTTCCACCCTGACTGCCATTCTCCACACCACCGCTAGGGGCGCTCTTGAGGCAAGACCAAACCGAGAGGTTTCAGTTCCCCAGGGACTCCCTGTTCCCGACACACCCTTATTCTGGCTCACAGAGCTGTGTGGGCCTTGCTGACCTGCACTGTATCGCTGCGCTGCCCTGCCCCGGCCCTAACACACTCCCAGCTAGCACATTCCTCGAGGCCCCAAGGTCACCCTCTGTTCCTTAGCCCCGTCAAGCGTGTTCCTCCCTGCGCACTTGGTACTTGCCGTTCTTTCTTCCCAGAATGCTCTTCAGCTTTTCACTTGCCTGCCTCCGATTTCGGCTTGTCACCTTCTCAGAGAAGCCAGCCCAACCCGCCACTGTCCGGCTGCCCTCTCCAGTCAGCCGTTTTGCCCTGTACATCACTGGCTGCCCCTGGTTACCTTGTGTGTCCCTGCTTGTGTCTGTCTTCTGCCACCAAGAGAGCAGGGGGCTTGGCTCAGGGTGTGCACCGGGCGGGAGGACGCAAGAATGTGTGGCCGCCTGCATGAACCCGCGGCGGCAGGACAGGGAGGTCCCTCGACCCAAGCTGGGAGATACTGGAAAGGAAAGAGGAGGAACTGTTCTGGTTTGGGGGCCGCGAGCTAGGGGCCTGGGTACTCCGGAGCGAGCACGTCCAGACGTAGTGAGCAGGAGTACGTGTAGCGTATTTGCATCGCAGATCCGACCCGACCTCAGCACCAGCTGTGTGCTGGTCCTGGGCAGGCGCCCCTCTGCCCTGGAGGAGCGTGCAGTCTGCCCGGGGATGAACTGTACAAACGAGATGGTCCCGCTAGGAGGAGGTAACCAGAGGGACGTGGTCACCGGCCAGCGGGGTGACGGCATGATGGCTCCTTGTGCCCAGGAAGAGGACAGGGCAGGGTGGGTCGGAGGGAGTGATGACGCAGCACAGACTGTGGAGGGCCTTGCGGCCACTTGAGGGATTCTGACTTTCCCAGAATAAAAGAGAAGCCAGTAAGGGTCCTGCGTAGAGGACAAAATGATCTGCCTGATCAGCGAGTGAGTGGTTTTTGCGGCTGGTGAATGGAGATGAGCAGGGAGGAGAGGTGGGAGACGACTGGGCTTCAGCAGCCGTGGAGGGGAGACTGGCAGTGTTGGGTGGATGGTGCTGACTGCGTGTGGCCTCAAGGGGGAGCTCCTGGGCCGTCTTCCTCTTGCCAGTCGCTTGGTCTCGGACAGCTCCGTGGCCTTGTTGCTCAGTTACCTTGCCTGTTCTTTTGTCCGCAGGGTTCAGTAGGGCAGTGGTGGTGAACCTATGGCACACGTGCCCCAGCGCGCTGTTTATTATCATTGACAGCTCTAAAAGGTTCGCCATCACTGAGCTAGAGGGACAGAATCAGCAGGAGGCAGGTGAAGAGTTATTAAGGTACAGGCTTGCCCAGTTGCAGGCAGTGCCAGGCAGGCTGAACTCCAGGGACCCTCAGGCCTGCCCGTGAGGCCTGTCAGCTCACTGGCGCAGGCCCCCAGGGGGGTAGGAGTAAGGTAAGGCCTTTAATCACAACCACAGCAGCCCCTTCCCAGCAACACCTGGACAAGGACAACTGGGAACTGTGTCCAGCCAGCTGGCCAATCATGCTGAGCATCACACGGAAGGTACCCCAGACCCAGGCCTTCAGCAACCATGGCTAGCTGGGGATCCCCCTCCGAGGGGGACGGTGGCGCCTGTGACGAGCTGGCGGGTCCTCGCAGCACTCTGGAGCCACCTGAGCAGCTCTGAGATCACCACTAGGTGGCGGAGGCAGCCACAGACCCTGTGGCCGGCAGAGGGCCAGGAGCCTGTGCAGAGGTCCAGCTCGTTTAAATGCAAATGCAGTTGCTCCATCGTGTTGCACGTTTGTCCTCTTAGGTGAGTGTGGATGTGCCTGTGAAGCTCTGTTTACTTTATCCTCATCTCCGGGATCAGGAACCAGTACTCTGGGTCGGCGCTGAGGTGGCCCCATAGCATGGCGGAGCCGTGTGCCTTGGGGTTGAGTTTGGGTTTTGGCATCAGACAAACCAGGCGGGGTTTGAACCCAG